TCTTGTTTTCTGTCTTGTCCAGGAGCAGGAGGTGTTGTACCAGAGTTCAACGCAAGTGTCAAACTCCACGTTTAATCAGCCAGACCGCCATGTAAAGCTGTGGGTGAAACTGGTTACTCCACTCATCAAGAACTTCTTCTAAAGTTCAACAGGCCTGAGGTGATGGATATCTCACTGTCTGTGACAGGTTGGTTGCTGGCGTACCTTTGAAGCATGTTTTAAACCTATCAGGCGTATTAGTGTTAGTGGTAGTTTCAGACATGAGCAATTCCTCCTGGAAAATACATTGGAATATAGAAGCCGGTTGTTAGCCAGGCCAAACTGGTTATTATTGTGTCCAAGCTGGTAATTAGCTGAACCAGGCTGGTTATTAGCTGGTCGACCTCGTTTCAAAAACCATCTTGACCACCTTAAAGTCAACATGAACCTTATTTACCATCTTAATACTTGTTCTTGGTCTTATTGTTATTGATTCACCGATGACTGTTATTCCAAAGAAAACATTTTCATCCTAATCTTTCATCAAATGTAATAACTTGCACTTCCTATGCCTTTTCCAGTGACGTCACTTAAGCTGAGAGGGACAATGTTGGACAATGTTAACCAACAGCCCAACAAGCTATTTAGGTTCTGTTTTGGTGGTAACACTATAATAAGATTGCATTTGTCGACAGGAAATTAAATGTGAACTTATTTATCTCCTAAATTCATGTTATAGATCTTATTGTGAACAATTCATCTGTGCATGTTTTTTACAAAAAAAAAGAAGACCCTGTAATGTTTCTTTAAAATAACATAACTGGGCCTATGGGTGAAAATGACAGACTTCTATATCTTGTCATATGATAATTAACACTAAGTATTGTTCATTGTTTGCTCATGTTAACTAATGATTGATATCAATGTTAATGTAGTTAACTTGGGTTAACAAATAAAACTTTTTTGTAAAAGTTTAGTTTTAGCAAACAGTCAACTTTTCACAATCCAATCAATACCCAGTGGATAAAATCATGTCTCACCTATTTCTTTTTAGTTGATTGTCCTGTTTCATGCTAATGTCACATTACTGAAATGAAATGGCTTACAAATGGCAATTCATGCTGCTGTGACTAGCGGCTAGTAACCCGCTTCCATCTTAAGCCGGATTTTCCAGCAGGGATGGTTCGGTGGTATCGGGTATTATGTGCGTTTCATTATGCATTATGAAGCATAAATATGGCAAAAAGCACATTGAATAGCACTAACTGACAAAATAATGCATTGCATTAACAGCGCTTGCATTTTAATGCCTTGTATTTCCAGGGCTTGCATTTTCGGTCCTGAAATTTAACATAGTTGTCTATTTAAGCTGTGAATATTTCAATTCAAAATATTTCACACACATTTTCATAAAAAATTCAATAATTCATATTCACCTTCCAGAATTCACTTCCAAAATATTCAATCTGTTTAAAAATACGATGTATAATATTCGACAGGCACATTTCGGTCCATTTTTCACTTTCCAAATTTGCTTCCACAAATTCGGTGGTTCAAATTCGACAGAAAATTCGGCATTGCACATCCGGGAGCTGCAGGAATAGCAGTAGAGCACCGATGCACGATCTCCAGCTGCTGTCAGTCGCTCACCAGCAGGTTTGCGAAAGCGGCTGTTGATGAAGACCAAAGCAACAGGCGGATTAAGTCATTCATTCACAAAAACTGATTTGCAGAAATGGAGCAAG